GTAAAGAAGTTTAATTGAATTTTAATAAAGATAGAGGCATGGCCTCACCTTTGAAGATTTAAAAAAAAAAAAAAAATATTTATAATAAGTATTTAACAAGTACTTCTAATAAAAAAGTATTTAAATAGTGACTTCTTACACTCAATGTTTTTATAGCAAAGTTAAGATTATAATATATATTAGAATAGATTAAAGTTAAAATTAAAGTTAGTATTAGAGTTTAGGTAATGTAAATTGTGAGAGAAACATTTTTGCTTATATTATACAAGAAGTGTTACCTAGTCAAAATTTTAAGATATTAGCAATTTTAGAATTGAAAATACTAAGTAAATGAAACACTAACTTAATAAAAAACTAAAATTATTAAAGTAATTAATAAATATTAAATTATTTATTTATTTAATATTAAATAATTATAATATATAATAAATATTTATTTAATATTAATTATTTTGAATTAATATCTTAACTCTTTTCATTGATCCTCTGTACACAAATTTACAAAAACTTCAAAAACACACAAAGTTCAATAAGGAACCAGACTCGAAGCTCTAAGAAAAAAAAAAGGATAGCAGAAAACACTCAGTCTCTTAAGAGACTTGAAATAAAGATGCAAAGGTGGTAAGGATATAGAAGAAATTATGCGAAACTATCAGTCTTTTTTAGTTTTTTGCAAATTTTGAAGAATTTGTCTTGATTTTATAATGCAGATCTGTTTTGGTAATACAAGAATCACAACATGTAATGAAGAATAAACAAAAGAAACACACCAAAAACTATAATAAACAAAAATGGTAAACAACCTCAACAAACAACAACAACAAAAAACAACAACAGGAAAACAACAAGTCATGTGAAACAAAAAGAAACAGAATGTTTTAGAAAAATGATTACTGTATCAAAAGAATTTGAAGCACAAGTAGTGATACTTGATGAAAATAAAGATATCCCAATAGATTTAATATTAGCAAAATATGCTGAGAAAAAAACTTATTATGGAAGAAGAAGCTAAGGCACAAATAGTAGAACTTAATAAAGAATTATAGAAATATAATTTAGGTAAAATTAAATATACAGAACTTGCATTTAGAAAAAGAAACAACCATGATTACTATACAGCACTACAAAAAGAAGAGGACCTAGTTAGATATATTATACATCAAAAAATGAATAACATTATAGCTAACTTAGGAATAGCTAATAGGATAAGATTGATAATAGAGTTTAAAGAAAAACAAGCTGCTAAAATGGAGTTGATAAAGTTAAAAGTAGATTTAGGTTAGAACAAGAGACTTTAAGAACAAAAGAAAAATTGATAAAAGTAGCACAATAAAATAGCACTGAAGACAATAGTACAACAATTTAAAGAATTCATTGAAACCTTCGCAGCAAACCAGTATGAAGTTAAAAAAAAATCAAGAAAAAAGAAGAAGATGCAAGTTTGACAAAAGAAAAAACAAGCTGCTGAAATAAAGTCAAAGTTAGAACTAGATTGAAGCAAAAGACTTCAAAAACAAAGAAAAATTTGACAAAAGCAGCATAACAAAATATCATTGAAAGTATTAGTTAATAAATTTAAAGAATCCATTGAAGTAGCTGTAGCAAACCAGCATGAGAAAGAGGAAAAAGCCAAAGAAGAAAAAAGAAAAAAGAAAGTCAAGAGACAAGTCATTGAAGACCCTATAGAAGCAAAAACTTGAAACAGATTCAAGCAGAGATAAGTTTGAAGACTTTATTTTTAACATCAGCAGAGTGAATAATAAAAATAATATATCAAGCAAGCAAAGAAGACTCACAAATTAATAGCAAAAATTAGAAAAAGAAGAGGAAAGATTTACTAGTAAATGGATATGGTAGACAAGATTCTAATAAATTAGTAATACAAGTTTGATTCAAGATATATTAGCAAAAAGATTAAAGAGAGTTAAGAATTAGAAGAGAAAAAAGAAAAATATAGTATTAGAAATAGTAGAATAAATTTTAATAGAACTTTTTAAAAATCTAAAGATTTTTATTGAAATACAAGAGAAGTTTCTAAACAGAAAACCAGGCTTCAGGAAAAAGAAGAAAAAGAAAGGTTTTCAAGTACAGAATAGAAAAGAAGAAGAACCTAACTGGACTAATCGAGTCATAGAAACAAAAGACCTAAAAGTTCAGTTTTGACAAAAAAGAAAAAGAAGATGCAAGTGAATTATTCAAGACCTAGAAGCAGAAGATTCAAGAATAACATCAAGAAAGCTGGAAAGAGAAAAGGTCTATAGAAAAACATTCCTAATAAAATTCTTTAGAATAAATACTTTAAAAAAAGAGAAAGAATATAAAGCCATAAAATGAAAAGAGAAGTAAAAAGAGAAAAACAAAAGAAGACTCCCAAGAGCCAGATTTCCTATTAGCTTGGACAAAATAAACTAGAAGAAAAGAAAGAAGCTTGAATATAGACAGAAAGAATTTAGCTATAATAAGTTAAAATCAAAGCTAAATTAGATAGTAGGGTAGATTTAGATTATTATTATAATGAGGAAAATAAAGTTGAAGAAGTTAATTGTTGGTAGAATCTTGATAAAAATTTCTTTAAATTGAAGCTATTTTATTATAGCTTCACTGGCTAGCTTGGTACAGCCTTTTGGTATGGGCAATGCCTTAACCACTGTGGTAGACTGCATTTGGGCATCCAATAAGGCAGCCAAATAATGTCAGATCTGTAATTTAAATAGTTTAGATATATGTATATATGCTTTAATCTAATAAAGATACTGGCAAGACTACCAATATAGAAAAAAAATATTAATTATTTAATATATAAGAAATATTAAAATTAATTATTTATTTAAAACTAATATTTATTTTAGAAAATTACTATTTGTACACGGTGTGTTTGAACATGGATATTGATTTGTAAATCTGTATAACATGCCAATCAAAACAACTTTTGTAAATAAAAAATTAAGCCCCTACTTTGGGTTAGGGTAAGGGAGCATTTAGGATTTGGGCGGGTTATAGCATATATCAAAATTTCGAAAAGAATTTTTTTGTTAGAATCCAAAAGGTAGTTTTATAATTAAAATTTTGAAATATCAGTAATATTTTGAAGAAAGCAATAATTTTATATTATATCTGATTGTGCAATCTGATTGGCTCTCTATATTAACCGTGTATATATACACTGTGTACAAATAGAAATGCTTTTTATTTTATATTAAATTATAATAATAAAAAAATACTTATAACAAATATAAATAAATACCATATATCGCCGAAAAAAGCACCCACTGAAAATAAGCACCCATGTAATAATCATTAATCTCCAAAAATAAGCACTCCAACTGAGATTATCTGTAAATAATATTATTAGTTAAAAATAGTATAGCGATCGCTATTACAGTATGTATGTATATACTATCGCTATTACTGATATACTATATCACTACATATACCACACTCTCTACAATTCACTTCTATATTCTATATCGTAATCAAACTTATTTTTTTATCACCTTCAGCACATTTTAAATTCCACTCTTATTCACATCTATTCTATATTGATAGCAGAATTCGGAACCTTTTCAAATACCTTTTTATTTGCACAACAATATCCAAAACACCACATTAGTGCTTTCTACAGATTTATCACTGGCTTCAACTGATTATGATCTCCAAGATCTATACATCCATCAGAACTATAAGTTTCGCTGATTTAAAATACCTTTCAAATGACTTATTCTCACTCTTATCAGATCCAATATTATTTTTATTATAATGTTTAGAACCTTGTATCAGCACCCCAATACCATTTAAACATTTTATGGCCAGCTTCAGCAGACTTTTGATAATAGTTAGATGCCTCATGTTCGCCTATAGCAGGTACATTTTTCATTTTTACTCTTATCTGATTCAACTTCTTAAGATTAACTATGGCCATTTTTTTTTCATTTACTACGATTTTATGTACTTGTTCACTACAATTATTCTGACTTCTTTGTCACTAATTATTTTGTTACCAATTCCATTTTGGTTACAATGGCTAACACAATGTTCTATTTTCATGACCCACACATGTGGATTTTTGATAACAATTGGATGTCTTGATTTTATTCTCTTTCTGCTCTCATAGCAGTATCTGTCTCTATGCATTCTATCAGCATGAGCCATCCCTGCTGATTTTTGATAACATTCGAATGTTTTCTTTTTATTACTATTCCTGGCATTCCTTCATCAAGGCTTTCAGGTTTGTTTACTATTTTCATTCTGTCTTTCATCTTCAGATTACAATGACCACTTGAATTAA